ACGGCTCCTACGACAACCACAACTACAGCACCTATTACAACATCTGCAGTTCCTACAAACGTTGAAGCTCCTACGACAACTGCAGATCATACGACATCTACAATAGGTCCTACGACCACTAGAACTGGAGCTCCTACGAGAACTACAACCACAGCTCCTACTACAATAACCTTAACTCCTACGACAACAGCTGTAGCTCCTACAACCACTACAACTTTAGCATCTACTACGACATCTACTGCAGCTTCTACTACAACAACTGCTGCTCCAACGACCAATATTACTTCAGCACCTACTACAACAATTGCAACTGCAGCTCCTACGACAACTACAACCGCAGGTCCTACTACAATAGCTTTAGATCCTACGACAACAACTGTAGCTCCTACAACCACTACAACTTTAGCATCTACTACGACAGCGACAACTGCAGCTCCTACGACAACTGCAGCTCCCACTACCACTACAACTGCCGAACCTACTACGACAACCACTGCAGCTTCTACTACAACAAGTGCTGTTCCTACGACCATTACTACTGCATCACCTACTACAACAACTGCAACTTCATCTCCTACTACAAACACAACTACAGCACCTACTATGTCAACTGTAGTTCCTACAACAAGTGCAGCTTCTACGACAACTGCAGCTGTTACGACAAACGCAGCTCCTATGACAACTGCAGCTCCTACGACAACTGCAGCACCTACTACGATAACTGCAGCTCCAACATCTCCTGCTGCTCTTACGACAACTGCTGCTCCTACGACAACAACGGTAGCTCCTACTACAGCTGTAGCTCCTACGACCACTACGCATGCAGCATCTACTACTACAACTGCAGCTCCTATGACAACTGCAGCTCCTACGTCAACTGCAGCTCTTATGACAACTACTGTAGGTCCTAAGACCACTACAAATGGAGCTCCTATTAAAACTACAACCGCAGCTCCTACTAAAACAACTGTAGCTCCTACGACCACTTTGACTGCAGCATCTAATTCGACAACGAGAACTCCAGCTCCTACGACAACAACTGCAGCTACAACGACCACTACAACTTCAGAACTTACTACTACAACCACTGCAGCTCCTACTACAACTGCTGTTCCGACGACCACTACAACTGCAGCACCTACTACAACAACTCCAACTTCAGCTCCTACTACAAGAACAACAACTGCACCTACTACAACAACTGCAGTTCCTACAACAACTGCAGTTCATACAAAAACTGCAGCTCTTACAACAACAACTGTAGCTTCTATGACAACAACTGTAGCTCCTACGATCACTACGACTGCAGCATCTACTACGAGAACGACAACTGCTGCTCCTATGACAATTGCAGCTCTTACGACAACTACTGTAGGTCCTACGACCACTACAACTGGAGCTCCTACAACAACTGCAACCGCAGCTCCTACTACAACAAATGTAGCTCCTACGACATCAACTGTAGCTCCTACGGCCACTACAATTGCAGCTCCTACAACAACCACAGCTGCAGCACATACTATGACACCTGCAGTTCCTACAACAACAGCAGGTCCTATGACAACAGAAGCTCTTACGACAACAACGGTAGCTCCTACGACAACTGTAGCTCCTAAGACCAATACGACTGCAGCATCTACTACTACAACTGCAGCTCCTACAACAACTGCAGCTCTTACGACAACTGCAGCTCCAACGACAACTACATCCTCAGCTCCTTCTACAACAATTGTAGCTCCTACGAATACTGTAGTTCCTACTACCACTACAACTGCATCATCCACCACGACAACCACTATAGCTTCAACGACAACCACAACTGCAACTCCTACTACAACAACTGTAGGTCCCACTACCACTGTAGCTCCTACAACAACCACAACAGCAGCAACTCCAACTGCAGAATCTACTATGACACCTGCTGTTCCTATGACAACTATGACTGCAGTAACTACTGCAGAACCAACTACGACAACCACAACTGCAGCACATATTATGACAACTGCAACACCTACTATGACAACTGCACGTCCTACGACAACTGCAGCTCTTATGACAACAACTGTATCTCCTACGACAACAACTGTAGCTCCTACGACTACTATGACTGTTGAACCTACTGGGACAACTACAACTGCAGCCTCTATGACAACCACAACTCTAGCACCTACTACGGCAACTGCATCTTCTACGACAACTGCAGCTTCTACGACAACTGCAGCTCCTGCGACAACTGCAGCTCCTACGACAACGGCAGCTCTTACGACAACAACTGTAGCTCCTATGACCACAACTGTAGCTTCTACGACAACAAATGTAGCTCTCATGACCACTGCAACTGCATCATATACAACTACACCTACGACTGCTGCTCCTACGACAACTTCAGCTCCTATGAGAACTGCAGCTCCTACAACAACAACTGTAGTTCATATGACAACAACTGTATTTCCTACTACCAGTACAACTGCAGCACCTACTACTACAATGACAACTTTAGTTCCTATGACTACTACAACTGAAGCACCCACTACTACAAATATAACTTCAGCTCCTACGACAACCAAAACAACAGCCAATATTACAACCACAATGACTGATCCTACTACAACTGTCGGTCCTACAACCACTACGACTGCAACGTCTACTACGACAACCACAGCTGCAGTTCCTATGACAACCGCAACTGCAGCTACTGCTACAACCACAACTGCTGCTCTTACTACAATTGTTTACCTTACAACCACAACAACTGAAGCACCTAGTCCTACAATGACAACTGTAGCTCCTACAACTATTACAACTGAAGAACCTTCTGCTATAATGACAACTGCAGGTACTAAGACAACCGCAACAGCAGCCCTGACGAGAACCACTGCAGTTCTTACTACAACAACTGTAGGTCCTAAGACAACTGCAACACATACTACAACATCTACAACGGCAGCTCCTACGGCAAACACACCTGCAGCTCCTACTACAGCATCTGTAGCTTCTATGCCCACTACAACAGCAGCACCTACAATGACAACTGTATCTCCTACAACAACAACAACTGTAGCTCCTACGACCAATAAAACTGCAGCACCAACTACGACAACTGCAGCTCTTATGACAACAACAACAACAGCACTTACGACAATCACAAATGCAGCTCCTAAGACCACTATAAATGCAGCACCTGCTACGACAACCACAAGTACAGCGTCTATGACATCCACAAGTGCAGCTCCTACTACAACAACAGTAGCTCCTACATCCATTACAAGTTCAGCATATGCTACGACAATCACAAGTTCAGCTCCTACTACAATACATGTAGCTCCAATGACAACTTTAGCTTCTACGACCACTACAATTGCAGAACTTACTCCGACAACCATAATTTCACCTCCTACTACAACAATGGCAGCTGCTACAAGAACCACAACTAAAGCTCCTATGACAACCACAACTACAGCTCCTACTACAACAACGGCAGCTGCTATGACAACCGCAACTGCAGCTACTACCACATCCACAACTGTAGCTCCTACGACATCCACAACTGTAGCTCCTATGACCAACACAACTGCAGGTCCAACTACAACAACTGCAGCTCTTATGACAACCACAACAGCAGCCCCTACGACAACCACAAATGTAGCTCCTAAGACCACTATAAATGCAGTATCTGCTACGACAACCACAAATGCAGCATCTATGACAACCACAAGTGCAGCTCCTACTACAACAAATGTAGCTCCTACATCCACTACAAGTTCAGCATCTGCTTTGACAATCACAAGTTCAGCTCGTACTACAACACATGTAGCTGCTATGACAACCTTAGCTTCTAGGACCACTACAATTGCAGAACCTACTCCGACAACCATAACTTCAGCTCCTACTACAACAATGGCAGCTGCTACAAGAACCACAACTAAAGCTCCTATGACAACCACAACTACAGCTCCTACTACAACAACTGTAGCTGCTACGACAACCACAACTGCACCTACTACGACAAATACAAATCCTACGACAACCACCACTGCAGCTCCTACTACAACTGTAGCTCCTACGACCACCATAACAGCAGCACCTACAATGACAACTGTTGCTTTTACAACAACTGAAGCTCCTACGACAATAAATGTAGCTCCTACAACCACTACACTTCCTACTACAACAACCACAACTACAGCAACTGTAGCTCCTACATCCACAACAAGTGCGGTACCTACTACAACAACCACAACTGTAGCTGCTACAACAACTGTAGCTCCTTCGACCAGTACAACTGCAGTACCTACTACAACAACCACAACTACAGCTCTTACTACAACAAATGTAGCTCCTACGACAACCACAGCAGCTCTTACTACAAAAACTGTAGGTCCTGCGACCACTACAACTGCCGCAGCTACTACAACAACCACAACTGCAGCTCCTACGACAATAACTGTAGCTCCTACGACAACTACACCTGCAATTCCTACTACAACAACCATAACTACAGCTCCTACCCCAACAACTGCAGCTCTTACGACAACTGCAGCTCCTATGACAACCAAAACAGCAGCCCCTACAACAACTACAAATGCAGCTCCTACAACCACTACAACTGCATCATCTGCTACGACAACCACAAGTGCAGCTCCTACTACAACACATGTAGCTCCTACAACAACTTTGGCTTCTACGACCACTACAAATGCAGAACCTACTCCGACAACCATAACTGCAGCTCCTACCACAACAATAGCAGCTGCAATGAAAACCACAACTGCAGCTCTTACTACAACAATGACAGCTGCTATGACAACCACAAATGCAGCTTCTAGGACATCCACAGCTGCATCTCTTACGACAACTGCAGCACCTACTACAGCACCTGTGGCTCCTACAATCACTACATCTGCAGCCCCTACTACAACACCTGTTGCTCCTACGACCACTACATCTGCAGTACATATTACAACAACCACAACTGCAGTTCCTAATACAACAACTGTAGCTCCTACAACAACCACACCTGCAGCTCCTACGACAAGAACTGTAGCTCCTACGACCACTACAACTGCAGCACATACTATGACAACTGCAGCTCCTATGACAACTGCAGTTCTAACGACAACAACTTTGTATCATACAACAACAAATGTAGGTCCTACGACCACTAAAACTGCAGCTCCTACGACTACTGCAACTCCTACTAAAACATCTGTAGCTCCTATGACCACTAAAACAGTAGCACCTACAATGACAACTGGAGCTCCTACGACAACAACTGTAGCTCCTATGACAACAACTGTAGTTCCTACAACAACTGTAGCTGCTAAAACAACAAATGTAGCTCCTACGACCACTACAACTACAGTTCATACTACAACAACTGTAAGTCCGACGACCACTAGAAATGCAGCACCTACTACGACAACTACAACTGCAGCTCCTACAACAACCACAACTGCAGCTCCTACTACAACAACTGTAGCTCCTACAACCACCACAAAAGTAGCACCTGCAATGACAACTGTACCTCCTACAACAACGGCAGCTCCTATGATAATTGCAGCTCCTACGACAACCGCAGCTACTATAACAACAACTGTAGCTCTTACAACAATAACTGTAACTCCTATGACCACTACACCTGCAGTACCTACTACAACAACCACAACTACAGCTCCTACTAAAACTGAAGCTCCTGTGACCACTGAAATTGCAGCACCTACTATGATAACTACAATTGCAGCTCTTACAACAACCACACCTTCATTACCTACTAAAACAACCACAACTGTAGCTCCTACAACAATTGTAGCTGCTAAAACAACAAATGTAGCTCCTACGATCACTACAATTGCAGTTCATGCTACAACAACTGTAAGTTCTAAGACCACTATAAATGCAGCACCTACAATGAAAACCACAACTGCAGCTCCTACAGCAACAACTGTAGCTCCTACTACGACAACAACTTCACCTCCTACTACATTAACAACTGAAGCTCCTACCACAACCATAGTTGAAGCTCCTTCGACATTCACAGCTGCAGCTCCTACTATGAAAACCACAAATTCCGCTCCTACTACGTTAACAACTGTAGACCATACAACAACCACAACTATAGCTCCTAACACGACAACCACTAACTCTCCAACTACATCTACAACTGCAGCTCCTACTACAACAATCACCAGAGCTCCTACAGCAGCCAGAACAACTGTAGCTTCTACTACGACAACCAAAACTTCAGCTGCCATAATGACAACTACAAATGCAGGCTCCAACAATCGCAACTCCAGCTCTTAAAACCACCACAACTGTAGCTTCTACTACGACAACCAAAACTTCAGCTGCCATAATGACAACTACAAATGCAGCTCCAACAATCGCAACTCCAGCTCTTAAAACCACCACCACCACTGTTGCTTCAACTACTACAATTAAAACTGCAGGTCCTACAACCACCACCACAACTGCAGCTCCTAAAACAACGACTACAACTGCAGCACCTACAAGTACAATCACAATTGTACTTCCTAACTCGACAACCACAACTGCAACTTATACCTCAACTTCTACGGCTTCAGTGACAACAACAACTAGGTAGGCAAGATATTTTTGTATAATTATTTTATACAATTCAATTAACACTTTGTCAATCAAGGAACCTTTGCAACAATGAACCATGTATATCCCTGCTTGTGTTGTTAGCTACTGATGTTTTCATAAAAGCATCCAAAATGTCAGCCTTTCTTTAAAAAAGCTCTTTGTGTACCTCAGTCGGTCGAAAGGCGCTATATAAATCCAAACCATTATTATTAATGTGCTTGCTGAAGGCAAGACCACTAGATTTCTTACATACTTCTTCTAATTATTTGATTTATTTAGCCCGCTCTAGCACTTAAACACTTTAAGCTATAAACACGGAACCAAATTTCAAATGTGGAGACGGCCCCAACTTAAATTGCTTGAGAAAACGTTTTAGATAGCATTTGTACTTTTTGTTCTACAACAGAAAACAAATAAAGCAACACCTCATTGCACAATGCCTCTCCACTGTGACCTACTTGTTGTGTGTATGTACTGACTTAAATAATATAAATAATATGCCATTTAGCAGACGCTTTTATCCAAAGCGACTTACAGTCATGTGCGCATACATTTTTTTACGTATGGGTGGTCCCGGGTATCAAAACCACTACCCTGGCGTTACAAGCGCCATGCTCTACCAATTGAGCATGTGTATGTGACTTGTATGTGTAACTGACAGATGCACACAAACACACACACACACACATAAAGTATTTTGTCTGTAATGTATTTTTTGTAACATGTCGGAACCCAGTAAGACTAGCTGTCGCCATTGGCATTGGCTACTGGGGATCCCAATAAATCAAATCAAACAATATTTCAAATCAGCTCCCAATGCATTTCAATGGCAATAAAAGGGACATAGACTTACATGGGGAAAATGTGGACACGCTACTCCTCCTAAACCGTTTAAGCTATCAACACCAAACCAACATTGAAATGTTAAGACTGACCAAACTTATATTGCTTTTATACATCTTTTGATAATATTTTTACTTGTTGAACTATAACCATTTTATAGTTGCATAAAAGCTCCATAGGCTTTGATGGGAAATATTTGGATTCGCCACTTCTCTTAAACCATTGACATTACAAAGACCAATGTACAGACTGACCCATCTTAGATAGCTTGTCATAAGCTTCAAATTCTCTAAAACGGTAACACATTTCATTTGCATAAATTAGCATAACACTTAATGGATTCAATGCCAACCATTAGAACGCAGTGGTAGACATTTAAAATGCTGCTGCTCCTTAACCATTTCAGCTACAAATATTTAAAACAGCTTTAACATTTTCAAAATTTTATAAAATATAACAATTTAAATTAGTATTAATTAGCATATAATAACCCACCCAAAATAATAGTAACTCTTGAACCGTTCAAGCTAGAGAGACCTAACCAACTTTCATATGTTCAGCCTATCCTATCCTATCCTATCATATCCATCAATCAATATTTCCATCTACCTACTTTTTCCAATTACAACCAGTTACTACCATTACTATAACTTATTTCACAACAATAAATACTTTAAGACAAGCTAGCAAGCACACATATTTTCTTTAGGAAATGTACTTTTCCATTTATTATTATTTTCTCTTAGATTTGGCACAGTGGTGGTTTTTGTTAGACTGATGTTCCAGCTCAAAAAACCAGTCCCCACTGAGGATGATGTCCTTGGTGCCATCAAGAATCAACTGTCTCGTCAATTCAGGACCACTCAAACCACCTACCAGAATGCAACTTATATCAGTGAGTTCAACAAATGAGGCTTATATCATAAAGACATTTATTTCCACTCTATAAAATAATTTCTTAATAAGAAAACATTCAACTGCTCCTGCTACCTAAATACTATTAATGTTTTTCAATGTTGTTGAAACTCCTAAGTTGTGGCAGTTCAGGAAATATATATTTTTTAAAGGATATGTATATGTATGTATGTATGTATGTATGTATGTATGTATGTATGTATGTATGTATGTATGTATGTATGTATGTATGTATGTATGTATATATGTGTGTGTGTGTGTGTGTGTGTGTGTGTGTGTGTGTGTGTGTATGTATATATATGTATATATATATATATATATATATATATACAGTGGGGAAAAAAGTATTTAGTCAGCCACCACTTAAAAAGATGAGAGAGGTCTGTAATTTTCATCATAGGTACACGTCAACTATGACAGACAAATTGAGAAAAAATAATCCAGAAAATCACATTGTAGGATTTTTTATGAATTTATTTGCAAATTATGGTGGAAAATAAGTATTTGGTCACCTACAAACAAGCAAGATTTCTGGCTCTCACAGACCTGTAACTTCTTCTTTAAGAGGCTCCTCTGTCCTACACTCGTTACCTGTATTAATGGCACCTGTTTGAACTTGTTATCAGTATAAAAGACACCTGTCCACAACCTCAAACAGTCACACTCCAAACTCCACTATGGCCAAGACCAAAGAGCTGTCAAAGGACACCAGAAGCAAAATTGTAGACCTGCACCAGGCTGGGAAGACTGAATCTGCAGTAGGTAAGCAGCTTGGTTTGAAGAAATCAACTGTGGGAGCAATTATTAGGAAATGGAAGACATACAAGACCACTGATAATCTCCCTCGATCTGGGGCTCCACGCAAGATCTCACCTCGTGGGGTCAAAATGATCACAAGAACGGTGAGCAAAAATCCCAGAACCACACGGGGGGACCTAGTGAATGACCTGCAGAGAGCTGGGACAAAAGTAACAAAGCCTACCATCAGTAACACACTACGCCGCCAGGGACTCAAATCCTGCAGTGGCAGACGTGTCCCCCTGCTTAAGCCAGTACATGTCCAGGCCCGTCTGAAGTTTTCTAGAGTGCATTTGGATGATCCAGAAGAGGATTGGAAGAATGTCATATGGTCAGATGAAACCAAAATAGAACTTTTTGGTAAAAACTCAACTCGTCGTGTTTGGAGGACAAAGAATGATGAGTTGCATCCAAAGAACACCATACCTACTGTGAAGCATGGGGGTGGAAACATCATGCTTTGGAGCTGTTTTTCTGCAAAGGACCAGGACGACTGATCCGTGTAAAGGAAAGAATGAATGGGGCCATGTATCGTGAGATTTTGAGTGAAAACCTCCTTCCATCAGCAAGGGCATTGAAGATGAAACGTGGCTGGGTCTTTCAGCATGACAATGATCCCAAACACACCGCCCGGGCAACGAAGGAGTGGCTTCGTAAGAAGCATTTCAAGGTCCTGGAGTGGCCTAGCCAGTCTCCAGATCTCAACCCCATAGAAAATCTTTGGAGGGAGTTGAAAGTCCGTGTTGCCCAGCGACAGCCCCAAAACATAATTGCTCTAGAGGAGATCTACATGGAGGAATGGGCCAAAATACCAGCAACAGTGTGTGAAAACCTTGTGAAGACTTACAGAAAACGTTTGACCTCTGTCATTGCCAACAAAGGGTATATAACAAAGTATTGAGAAACTTTTGTTATTGACCAAATACTTATTTTCCACCATAATTTGCTAATAAATTCATTAAAAATACTACAATGTGATTTTCTGGATTTTATTTCCTCATTTTGTCTGTCATAGTTGACGTGTACCTATGATGAAAATTACAGGCCTCTCTCATCTTTTTAAGTGGGAGAACTTGCACAATTGGTGGCTGACTAAAAAAGTATTTGATCCCCTGCTGATTTTGTAAGTTTGCCCACTGACAAAGAAATTATCAGTCTATTTTTTAATGGTAAGTTTATTTGAACAGTGAGAGACAGAATAACAACAAAAAAATCCAGAAGAACGCATGTCAAAAATGTTATAAATTGATTTGCATTTTAATGAGGGAAATAAGTATTTGACCCCCTCTCAATCAGAATGATTTCTGGCTCCCAGGTGTCATTTATACAGGTAACGAGCTGAGATTGCTACCTGTATAAAAGACACCTGTCCACAGAAGCAATCAATCAATCAGATTCCAAACTCTCCACCATGGCCAAGACCAAAGAGCTCCCAAGGATGTCAGGGAAAATATTGTAGACCTACACAAGGCTGGAATGGGCTACAAAACCATCGCCAAGCAGCTTGGTGAGAAGGTGACAACAGTTGGTGCGATTATTCGCAAATGGAAGAAACACAAAAGAACTGTCAATCTCCCTCGGCCTGGGGCTCCATGCAAGATCTCACCTCGTGAGATGATCATGAGAATGGTGAGGAATCAGCCAATAACTACACAGGAGGATCTTGTCAATGATCTCAAGGCAGCTGGGACCATAGTCATCAAGAAAACAATTGGTAACACACTACGCTGTGAAGGACTGAAATCCTGCAACACCCGCAAGGTCCCCCTGCTCAAGAAAGCACATATACAGGCCCGTCTGAAGTTTGCCAATGAACTGGGTGAAAGTGTTGTGGTCAGATGAGACCAAAACGGAGCTCTTTGGCATCAACTCAACTCGCCGTGTTTGGAGGAGGAGGAATGCTGCCTATGACCCCAAGAACACCATCCCCACCATCAAACATGGAGGTGGAAATATTATGCTTTGGTGGTGTTTTTCTGCTAAGGGGACAGGACAACTTCACCGCATCAAAGAGACGATGGACGGGGCCATGTACCGTCAAATCTTGGGTGAGAACCTCCTTCCCTCAGCCAGGGCATTGAAAATGGGTCGTGTATGGGTATTCCAGTATGACAATGACCCAAAACACACGGCCAAGTCAAGAAAGGAGTGGATCAAGAAGAAGCACATTAAGGTCCTATAGTGGCATAGCCAGTCTCCAGACCTTAATACCATAGAAAATCTGTGGAGGGAGCTGAAGGTTCGAGTTGCCAAACGTCAGCCTCGAAACCTTAATGACTTGGAGAAGATCTGCAAAGAGGAGTGGGACATAATCCCTCCTGAGATGTGTGCAAACCTGGTGGCCAACTACAAGAAACGTCTGACCTCTGTGATTGCCAACATGGGTTTTGCCACCAAGTACTACGTCATGTTTTGCAGAGGGGTCAAATACTTATTTCCCTCATTAAAATGCAAATCAATTTATAACATTTTTGACGTTATTCTGTCTCTCACTGTTCAAATAAACCTACCATTAAAATTATAGACTGATCATGTCTTTGTCAGTCGGCAAACGTACAAAATCAGCAGGGGATCAAATAAATTCTTCCCTCACTGTATATTTGTGAGAAGAAAAAAAACATATGGGGGATTGGAAGTGATGCAGACAATTACATTGATGGAAGTTACAATCTATCTGCAATATTAAAGCTGACCTACCCAAAAAAAAAAAAAAAGTTGTAGCAGTTAATTTTGTCTGTTGCTATAGTGACCTTTTTTTTGTGTGCTCACAGAACTTACAGATACTTCATTTGCCATCGACCTTGGTTTCAAAATCACCAACGTAACCCTGGAGTCTCTAAGTAATAGACTCACATTCACCAATGAGACCTACGTCCAGATACAGGATTCAATTAACAGACTAGTAAGATACTGTGCTTCTATACAAAATATACATCCATGGTCATGTTCAGGTCACGATAGTAATTGACAACTTGATGTTTTTTTGTCCCCTTTTAGCTCCATACAATTCTCAGTGAACCAGACGGCAAACAGTTTCCCTTTCCCAAAGCCAACTTCACGTAAGTACAACGTCATGCCCGTGAACCAACCCAGCGTTCTCAACTGCACTCTTTAGAATTTCTCCAGATTTCATACAGCTGCTGCTTGTACAGCTAAACAGGATGAAGGGAACATGTTCAACTCTCACACAAAACCCATTTTTACGTCCACAGCGCTGATGGCACTCAAATCAGGGCAAACGTGATATATGTATACAAAGAGGAAGATGTCAACCTCCCTAGTGGTTTTCTACAGGAAGTCTTAAAAGTCTCAGGTATGCTGCTTTTGTCATTTCTATGATTTTTATGACAGTGAGTTATCAAACACCATGTAACGTGTATAATAATCAATCTCGAAAACACTTATATATCTATGTTATATGACATATTACAAGTTTATATTCCCTCTAAAATATATTTTCATTTATATTCTAGGTCTCCTGACCACCACTGTTGCCCCAACAACAACTACCAGCACCACACCACTTCCTACCCTTTTGCTGACCATTCCTTTCAATACCACAAGTGTTGGAGGTTTTCCTGGCTGGGCTTTGGCCATTATCATCCCTTGTGGCATCGCTATCATTCTGGTACCCCTGTGGATCCTGCTATGTGTACGTACAGGCTTGTGTTCACATGTGTACTGTGAAAATAGTTTACAAAGTATTTCATCAAATAAGCTGTTTAATTTCTGCAATGATATTTTGCATGTGAATCATACTTCCCCATTTTTGTTTTGCAGTGCATGCTATGTGGCTGCTGTGCAGCTGTAAGGAGACGCTGGCACAGACGAAGATCTTACAATGTACAGTACACCACCAGAAACGGCCTCTTCTGAGGTGACAACACTAACATCGGTGGGCAACTGTCATCACAAGAACAGCTAATTATCTATCTATCTATATCTGCTAATCAGGAGACTTCAGTGGGGACTTGCATACATTTTTTATCATAAAAATAACATTCATAATAGGCTTAATAGGCACATGTTTGCTGTGCATTGTATTATACATCTGATTGTTAATCAAAATTACAGCTGATCTGAACAGTATGTACACTACCGGGCAAAAGTTTTAGAACACCTACTCATTCAAGGTTTTTTCTTTATTTGTACTATTTTCTACGTTGTAGAATAATAGTGAAGACATCAAAACTATGAAATAACACATATGGAATCATGTAGTAACCAAGAAAGTGTTAAACAAATCAAAATATATTTTATAGTAATGATGGACTGTCGTTTCTCTTTGCTTATTTGAGCTGTTCTTGCCATAATATGGACTTGTTTTTTTACCAAATAGGGCTAAATTCTGTATACCCCCCCTACCTTGTCACAACACAACTGATATGTTCAAACGCATTAAGAATGAAAGAAATTCCACAAATTAACTTTTAAGAAGGCACACCTGTTAATTGAAATGCATTCCAGGTGACTAGCTACCTCATGAAGCTGGTTGAGAGAATGTCAAGAGTGTGCAAAGCTGTCATCAAGGCAAATGGTGACTACTTGAAAAATCTCAAATATATTTAGATTTGTTTAACACTTTTTTGGTTACTACATGATTGTGTTATTTCATAGTTTTGACGTCTTCACTATTATTCTACAACATAGAAAATAAATATTTATTTTCAGTTTTGTTGTTTCCTCTCTTGATTAACTATGAACTAATTTATTTTAAACTGCAATACAGTATATGTTTCTTCATCATACAGGTTGACAAATGTAATAAAGACTTTGGAAATCAGTATTAAGTAAAACATTTTTTAATAGGTTTGACTCAAGAGGGGGATTACAGACAGCACATCTAAACATCAAAGGAAGTCAAGATTGTCTGACCTTGCACCTTACGCTCAGAAATATCTAACACAATTTTATATCTATGTGAAACACAACATTATTAAAGGCCTAGTGCAGTCAAAAACATGATGTCCTGTGCTTTATATATATTTCCACACTATGAGGTTGAATAGGCGAGAGTGTGGTAAATTGAGCCATTGTTTACATTCAGCATCACTCCATCAAGGGAAATATCATATTCTTTCTAATAAAGATATCTACATATATTTCAGGATGTTATGTATCCCTGGAAATAATCTGAATTTCTGTAAACATTTTGAAAACATAGCTTGTCCATGTTGTGGTGTCTTGGCACAATTTACCCTGGGTATGGGTTAAGTTGAGCCACGGGACAGGGTAAGTTAAGCCGTCTACACATTGCTGTACTGAATGAAATATTACCACTACCCTTTTAAAACCATGTCTATCTTTATTTCCCAAACACAATTCAACACAATCACAATCACTATTGTAACCCAGTCTTAACACCTAACAAACACTTTGTACTTTTTAAAAACACTTTTAACATAGGCCAGGCCCTGTTGTTACCTCATATCCCAGTGATAATGCCTTGCATTACACCTGGGAAGTAAACACTTCAATTTGCTCAACTTTCCATTGGCTCAACCATTGGCTCAACTTACCCCAAGGCAAACATTTTGACTATGTTAGCCCACACAGCTACAAGGATGCAATTAAATGCTAGGTTTATAATCTCATATTGAAGCTTATAGAGACCCCAACTGATGTATAGAAAAATCTTTAAATGATCTACTTTGGTTTAGATACAAGCATCATGAAACCTCAAACACAACAAATTAATTTGACTTCGTGAAAATCAGTTTTTTGGACCTAACTTGCTTACAACTTTTTCCATGTGGTTTCTTCCTTCACAGACTCCATGACATTATGACCTCTTCCTAAATATTAGGTGAAATTATTAATTTTGTAGGTGGCTCAACTTAACCCACTCTCCGCTAATAAAATGATAATGCCCTTTTAGTGTAAGTGCTGTTTGAAAAGACCGCCTGACATTTGAGCTTGTTTTCGTGGGATGGAGTTTTGGCCTGCTTGGTAACATCACCAGGTGGTAAATTAGTTGATAGACCAATAAGAAAGAGAGTTCCAAACCTCTCTGCCAATAATGGCTAGTTTTCAGTTTTCAGTTTTCCCCTCTCCACATAGACCACTCCCAAACAGTCCGAGCAAAATTCTTGCTTGAGAAATTGCTCTTTGCTAAGAAGCTATTTTTGTTTCTTTTTGACCATTTTAATTGAAAACAATCACAATAAGGTACTTAAGTGTTACTCATAAATTATTTGATATTGAGATAAAAACAAAAACTTGAAGGAATTATGGTTGGGCAGTGATAGAGAAGGGTGATGCTTGAATTGCCTCCGATGTTGTTCTGAGACAATTTGAAAATAGGCTATTTCAAAATGCTTAGAACTATTGCCCTCCGTGATAATGGAAATATATGAATACGGGTAATATTGTGATTCTTGCCATCCCCCTGTGATCAGAGAAAATGAACTATCCCTAACTAAAGGCCACTTAGCGGCTATATGGCAATGGGTCTTACACCTATCCCTGCCCATTCATCTCCAGTGGACGACAGCTTCCTTCAACACAGGCAATATCGCCTCTCCCACAAATTAACAATTTGCTGATTTGCTCATTTACATTTTTGTTCTTAGTAATTCACCTGCAAAAATTCTTAACATATTGTACGTTTTGCAAATTCGTAACATATTTTACGAATTGTAATTCATAACATATCATAAGAAATGGATGATGGATATCTATAAATTAATACATACCGTATGAAATGTAAGATACATTATCATACTAAATGGAGTTTCTCGGATTTATGTACAGAATAATACGAAATGCTCTGAGACCATGTTGGAATACCTGTTGCTGAAATAATGATACAACTGAGTAATCTTATGTTCAATGTAAATATCGTGTAACCCCTCAAAATGCTTAATGCTGGATGTGTCAATGTGTAGTTCATACATTCATAATCTATGAGAAGAATGACTGTCTTACTTCAATTAGCCACAAAATCTCTTGTTTGAAAGCGACTGCTTTCTGGAAGCTGTGCAGCACCATTTCCCCTACATTTTCCCCTACTTGCCCAAGCAAAAGAAAAGTGTAATTTAATATATTTGAAGTATACTTAAATACACTAAAAATTCAAATAATATACTTCAAATACGAGATGTATTTTTCTAGTATATCTGAAGTATACTATAAATATAATATCATTACACTTCAACACACTTATTAAAAGTGTACTTTATATTAATTGTTTTTTCCCTCTTTAAGTATACTATACAGTGGCTTGCGAAAGTATTCACCCCTTGGCATTTTTCCTATTTTGTTGCCTTACAACCTGGATTTTGTGGGGGGGGGGGGTGGGGGCGGGGGGGACTGTATCATTTCATTTACACAACGTGTTTTGTAAAACTAACAAGAAATAAGACCAAAAAAATACTTGAGCGTGCATAACTATTCACCCCCCCCCCCCCCCAAAGTTAATACTTTGTAGAGCCACCTTTTGCAGCAATTACAGCTGCAAATCTCTCTGGGTATGTCTCTATAAGCCTGGCCACTGGGATTTTGGCCATTCTTCAAGGCAAAACTGCTCCAGCTCCTTCAAGTTGGATGGGTTCCCCTGATGTACAGCAATCTTTAAATCATACTAGAGATTCTCAATTGGATTGAGGTCTGGGCTTTGACTTGGCCATTCCAAGACATTTAAATGTTTCACCTTAAACCACTCAAGTGTTGCTTTAGCAGTATGCTTAGGGTCATTATCCTGCTGGAAGGTGAACCTCCGTCCCAGTCTCAAATCTCTGGAAGACTGAAACAGGTTTCCCTCAAGAATTTCCCTGTATTCAGCGCCATCCATCATTCTGACCATTTAAATTACAGGTTGTAAAGCAACAAAATAGGAAAAAACGCCAAGGGGGATGAATACTTGTATGTTCGCTAAGTTTGAAACTTAAACACACTCATTAAAACTATTCGTCAATTTCAAACGCTTTAATTATAATTTAGTATATTATTTCAAAATACAGTTGTTTTTAAGTTAAAGCACTTATTTTCATGAAACTCTGTGAGTGATCAAGTCACTACAAGTATACAGTGCCTTGCAAAAGTATTTATACGTCTTGGATTTCTTCACATTTTATTGTGTTACGAAGTGGGGTTAAAATTGAAGTGTCATTTTTTGTCAACAATGAACTCAAAATATTCTGTAATGTCAAAGTGGAAAAATATATATTTTTTAATTAATACAAATTAAATAACTAAAATATAGTCAAGTATTCAGCCCCTTTGTTTAGGAAAGCCTAAATTAGTTCAGGAGTAAACAGAGTAATTTTGGCTTAACAAATCACAGAACATATTACATGGATTTGTGTGAAATAATAGGGGTTGACATTATTTTTTTATGACCCTTCCTCTGTCCCCCATACATACAACATCTGTAAGGTCCCTCAGTCAAGTTTTGAACTTCAAACACAGATTCAACTACAAAGACCAGGGACCCTTTCGAAAGCCTCATAAAAGGGCTGTGATTGGTAGATTGTTAACAATATCAAATCAGACACTGAATAGCTCTTTAAGCATGGTCAAGTTCATAATTACAGTGAGGGAAAAAAGTATTTGATCCCCTGCTGATTTTGTACGTTTGCCCACTGACAAAGACATGATCAGTCTATAATTTTAATGGTAGGTTTATTTGAACAGTGAGAGACAGAATAACAACAAAAAAATCCAGAAAATCGCATGTCAAAAATGTTATAAATTTATTTGCATTTTAATGAGGGAAATAAGTATTTGACCCTTCTGCAAAACATGACTTAGTACTTGGTGGCAAAACCCTTGTTGGCAATCACAGAGCTCAGACGTTTCTTGTAGTTGGCCACCAGGTTTGCACACATCTCAGGAGGGATTTTGTCCCACTCCTCTTTGCAGATCTTCTCCAA